CCTGGTCGACGACCGGGCCGCGGGGACGCTAAGCCCCGGAAGCACCTCAAGGTAACAGTGGAATAACCCCAACTACCCTAACTGCCAGTTATGCTCCTAGGTAGTCCTCGGTGAATGTCTTAATCTTAAAGATCATTTAGGAAAACACCCAAATTGCCAAACCGCCGGTTTATTTAATTTGCAACATGGACAATTTCCACCTTTCCCTCAAGACGGCAGAAATTTTTAAACAACTTTTCATGTATAGATCAACTCTCACGGCTGGTCAGACACTACGGGCTCACCATAGCCCGTGCTGCTTGGAACTTTTTGTTCCAGGTAGCGAATCTTAAACAACAACAACGACAACAACGGCTGCTCAGGGATGTCAAGACAATTACAAACTAACGTTAACAAGCGACCAGGAATGTGAATTCACACATGAACTGCCGAACCAAAATGCACTGGAAGTGAGTATATATAACAAACAAATGTACGAACACAGAGCCAGGTCAAGAAGGTCAGGTCGAGCCAGGTCGAGCCAGGTCGAGGCAGGTCGAGCCAGGTCGAGGCAGGTCGAGCCAGGTCGAGCCAGGTCGAGGCAGGTCGAGCCAGGTCGAACACAGAGTCAGTAGTAGAGTAGTAGAAGAAGGAGTAGAAGAACTCTCAGAACCCCATCAAGCAGGTATCAACCAGGTGAAATAACAGCTCCAAAGGCAAGAGAAAACGGCAAACGAGGCGACTGCGAAAGAAGAGAAATCAGAAATCAGAAATCAGAGTCGGGAATCAGAATCTTTCTTGCAAGATAAACAAAACAGGAATTCTGAATCTATCGGTACTTTTCACTTGGAGCATGTAAGTGTGAGCTCTCAGCAAGAGGAGTTGCGAGGAACAATAAGATATGTCAACCACCTCAAGACATGCAGAAGCGTGCTAAACACAGGTAAATGTTGTTTCAGAAGTTGTACGTGTTCTGTTCCACCCGGAACTGTCTTAACAACCCACTAAGTCAGAGCACCACGCCGCGGCCCAGCATGCCCAGTATATCACATCTAATGAATCGGACGAATAAAAGCTAATGAACGCAAGCAAAGCTGTTGTGGAAACAGCAACTACCCTACATTTCTGGGAGTTATTTTTTTATCATTGAGAAAGATAATAAAAATGACAAGACATATCAAAAGGTTCTGCCACCAACGCGGCCAAAGGCCAGACAAGACACAGAGTGACATTCCCACACAAGAACCACAGATGTTATCTTGAGATCTTGAGGTTATCTTGAGATGATTTCGGGGATTTTTTAGTGTCCCCGCGGCCCGGTCCTCGACCAGGCCTCCACCCCCCCCAGGAAGCAGCCCGTGACAGCTGACTAACTCCCAGGTACCTAATTTACTGCTAGGTAACAAGGGGCATAGGGTGAAAGAAACTCTGCCCATTGTTTCTCGCCGGCGCCTGGGATCGAACCCAGGACCACAGGATCACAAGTCCAGCGTGCTGTCCGCTCGGCCGACCGGCTCCCAGATATCAACACAAATGGAAAAACTCGACACCAACACAAATACGATAACGATCTTCGTATTCAACTGGTTGTATTCACCTGGTTGTATTCACCTGGTTGTATTCACCTGGTTGTATTCACCTGGTTGTATTCACCTGGTTGTATTCACCTGGTTGTATTCACCTGGTTGTATTCACCTGGTTGTATTCACCTGGTTGTATTCACCTGGTTGTATTCACCTGGTTGTATTCACCTAGTTGTATTCACCTGGTTGTATTCACCTGGTTGTATTCACCTAGTTGTATTCATCTAGTTGTATTCACCTGGTTGTATTCACCTGGTTGTATTCACCTGGTTGTATTCATCTAGTTGTATTCACCTGGTTGTATTCACCTGGTTGTATTCACCTAGTTGTATTCATCTAGTTGTATTCACCTGGTTGTATTCACCTGGTTGTATTCACCTGGTTGTATTCATCTAGTTGTATTCACCTGGTTGTATTCACCTAGTTGTATTCACCTAGATGTGTTTGCGGGGGTTGAGCTTTGCTCTTTCGGCCCGCCTCTGAACTGTCAATCAACTGTTTACTAACTATTTTTTTCCCCACACCCCACACACACACACCCCCAGGAAGCAGCCCGTGACAGCTGACTAACTCCCAGGTACCTATTTACTGCTAGGTGACAGGGGCATTCAGAGTGAAAGAAACTTTGGCCATTTGTGCGTGCGGGAATCGAACCCGCGCCACAGAATTACGAGTCCTGCGCGCTATCCACCAGGCCACCAGGCCTCCCTTCGTCTGTGGCACCACACGCAGTGTCAGAACAAAGAAGATGGACAAAGATCACTTCTAAACTGACTTCCTCAATGAGGCAAATACAATCTTCGCAGCTTTAACTGAAACTCACACAAAGGATTACTATGATGGTGAAATATGGGTACCAGAGTGTAATCGTTTTTTAGATTAGATCTTTTTCAAAGATTTAAAAACAAAAAATGCTAAGAAGTAAGATCACAAAATAC